TCCTGCAGGGCCTTACCTGTTCCTCGCTCCAGCGCTGTACAGTCTTCCCGCGCTGGCTTCTCTGACAGCCGGGTGCCCACTGCGCATGCGTGAGAAGCGCTGCGCTTTGTGAATGTCCGGTGTCTTCTGGGACACATGACAGGTCCCAGAAGACGCCGGGCCTTTCACAAAGCGCAGAGCTTCTCGGGCATGCGCAGTGGGCACCCGGCTGTCACAGAAGAAGCCGGTGCGGGAAGAAGAGTGAAGGACAACTCCGAAAGTGGGAGCGGGTACTTGTCAAATTCAGGTACCCGCTCCCCCTCCCTCCCCAAAGGTCTGCAGTCTCTGGTCATCTCCTGTACTATGTCCGCAGTCTCTGGTCATCTCCTGTACTATGTCCGCAGTCTCTGGTCATCTCCTGTACCGTGTCCGCAGTCTCTGGTCATCTCCTGTACTGTGTCCGCAGTCTCTGGTCATCTCCTGTACCTATGTCCATGTCCGCAGTACTGTGTCCGCAGTCTCTGGTCATCTCCTGTACTGTGTCTGCAGTCTCTGGTCATCTCCTGTACTGTGTCCGCAGTCTCTGGTCATCTCTCCTGTACTACGTCCGCAGTCTCTGGTCATCTCCTGTACTGTGTCCGCAGTCTCTGGTCATCTCCTGTCCGCAGTCTCTGGTCATCCCTGTACTGTGTCCGCAGTCTCTGGTCATCCCCTGTACTGTGTCCGCAGTCTCTGGTCATCTCCTGTACTGTGTCCGCAGTCTCTGGTCATCTCCTGTACTGTGTCCGCAGTCTCTGGTCATCTCCTGTACTGTGTCCGCAGTCTCTGGTCATCTCCTGTACTATGTCCGCAGTCTCTGGTCATCTCCTGTACTATGTCCGCAGTCTCTGGTCATCCCCTGTACTATGCCCACAGTCTCTGGTCCATCTGTACTGTGTCCGCAGTCTCTGGTCATCTGTACTGTGTCCGCAGTCTCTGGTCATCTCCTGTACTATGTCCGCAGTCTCTGGTCATCTCCTGTACTGTGTCCGCAGTCTCTGGTCATCTCCTGTACTGTGTCCGCAGTCTCTGGTCATCTCCTGTACTGTGTCCGCAGTCTCTGGTCATCTCCTGTACTGTGTCCGCAGTCTCTGGTCATCTCCTGTACCGTGTCCGCAGTCTCTGGTCATCTCCTGTACTGTGTCCGCAGTCTCTGGTCATCTCCTGTACTATGTCTGCAGTCTCTGGTCATCTGTACTGTGTCCGCAGTCTGGTCATCTCCTGTACTGTGTCCGCAGTCTCTGGTCATCTCCTGTACTGTGTCCGCAGTCTCCGGTCATCTCCTGTACTATGTCCGCAGTCTCTGGTCATCTCCTGTACTGTGTCCGCAGTCTCTGGTCATCTCCTGTACTATGTCCTCAGTCTCTGGTCATCTCTCTGTACTATGTCTGCAGTCTGGTCATCTCCTGTACTGTGTCCTCAGTCTCTGGTCATCTCCTGTACTATGTCCGCAGTCTCTGGTCATCTCCTGTACTGTGTCCGCAGTCTCTGGTCATCTCCTGTACTGTGTCCGCAGTCTCTGGTCATCTCCTGTACCGTGTCCGCAGTCTCTGGTCATCTCCTGTACTGTGTCCGCAGTCTCTGGTCATCTCCTGTACTATGTCTGCAGTCTCTGGTCATCTGTACTGTGTCCGCAGTCTCTGGTCATCTCCTGTACTGTGTCCGCAGTCTCTGGTCATCTCCTGTACTGTGTCCGCAGTCTCGGTCATCTCCTGTACTATGTCCGCAGTCTCTGGTCATCTCCTGTACTGTGTCCGCAGTCTCTGACCATCTCCCGTACTATGTCTGCAGTCTCTGGTCATCTCCTGTACTATGTCTGCAGTCTCTGGTCATCTCCTGTACTATGTCCGCAGTCTCTGGTCATCTCCTGTACTGTGTCCGCAGTCTCTGGTCATCTCCTGTACTATGTCCGCAGTCTCTGGTCATCTCCTGTACTATGTCTGCAGTCTCTGATCATCTCCTGTACTGTGTCCGCAGTCTCTGGTCATCTCCTGTACTATGTCCGCAGTCTCTGGTCATCTCCTGTACTATGTCCGCAGTCTCTGGTCATCTCCTGTAGTATGTCTGCAGTCTCTGGTCATCTCCTGTAGTATGTCTGCAGTCCATTGGTTCAGAATATTTTTTTTTCTTGTTTTTCGGCTCTAAAACCTAGGTGCGTCTTATGGTCAGGTGCGTCTTATGGAGCAAAAAAATACGGTAAATAAATAAAAGCTGATCATTGTAAGCACCCCTGTCAGTAGTAAATGGTTTCCCTCACCCCAATAACTGCAATAACTTCAAAAGGAAGTTGAAAAATGAACTTACTGGCAGGATCACCAGGTGAAAATAAAGAAAAAATAGCCTAAAAAAGAAAACGAATACAGCCACCACAAATAAGTAATTGTACACTGCAACACATTACATTTTTGATTTTGGGTATATATGCTTCAAGTTGCAAAGTGTAAAAAGGATAACTTACATTGACTTTGATGCTTTCTGAAATTTTTGGGTTATTTTTGGTGAGTGGTGAGTCTGACGTCCCTGTCTTCAAGCAGTACAGTCTCCGGTTAAGTCATCCAACACTTCCAGTAACATTGAATATCTCAGTTCCCTCAATGCTCTTAGTGGATCCTCCAGCCAGCCAATATGCTGCTACTGAGCTCTGAAGAGATAGAGGAAGAGGTAGGAGGAACCACAATGTACGTTGGAGGGGTACAGGAAATAGACACTCCCAGAACTGTCACATGATGAAGACTTTGCTGTAGGTTGGACTGCTTGAAGATAGTGGAATTTCCGACTTACTGCCAGCTGTAGAGGTAAGTATTCCCTTTGGATCTTTTAGGGATAGCGATAGGGTCACTTGACCCTCACAAAGCCCAGTTAGAAATTGGCTTAAAAAAGAATTCCTGAAATGGCAATTTTTACATCGGCCAGCTTGGAGCGATGTAACATGTATGTACCATACAAGTGGAAGCTGGAAATCACTGTAACAGTCATTGATAATCCAGTGATCTCCGCTAGCTTCCAGGTCTTGGGCCGAGCGGTTGTTCAGCTGCATTGTGAACACAGGAGGTCAGCTGCTGGGTGTCTTTGCATATTCTCAGTGACTGCAACCCATTCTCTGATTGGATGAGATGGAGAGATTGTCATCACCGCTTCTCCATATTCTCCAATCAGAGAATGCTTTGCAGTAATTGAGAAAATGCAAAACGAGATCTGAAAGGTGCCTATTATCAGACCTTCTGTGTTCTCAATGCAGCAGGACAGCCACTCAGCATCCAAGCCAGAAGCTAGCAAGATCACTGGATTAATGGTGTCTAGTACAATGATTACCAGCTTCTAGAGGGATCCCACCAGTATGGTATATACATAGTTACATTGGTCCAAGATGAAACAATGTGTAACTATGAAAAAATATCCTTACCTGGAATTCTATTTGATGTGAGATAAAAGAATGGAGAATTTTAAAAATTGGCAAATGAAACTTTACATATGTACAAATCCTGTCCTCTTCTGCATCCCCATGGGTTACTGTTATTGTTAGGAATGGACTGGCCAGCAATGGTGGGACTCACCTGCCTTTTGATCTGCAGTACCAGGGCTGGCCAGCGGGTGCTCCCAGCAATCAGAGACTCAACCTTTCAGCCAGCTAACACCTGCAACTGATGATGCTGGTGTATTTAAGGGATGGCCAGACCCACAGACTCTGCCTTGGTGTTGTGTTTGTCCTGGGCCCTGTATCTGTCCTGCATCCTGTTTCTGTCCCTCTGCCTGACCCTCTGTACTACGCTGCTTGTTACCTGTTTTGATCTCTGGCTTGTGACCCTGACCATCCCTCTGCCTGACCCCCTGTACTACGCTGCTTGCTACCTGCTGAACCTGGCCTGTGACCCCGACCATTCTCTGCTTGCTCCCCCTGTACCTACCTGCCCAATTGATATTGACCCGGCCTGCCTGACGACGCTTGCTTGTATGTACTGTTATCTGTGGGTGGTTTGGTTTGGTTTGTTTGCACTGTATTATGTTTAGTATTGCACTGCGTTTATGTTTGTATTGTTAGTGTTAATAAATTGTATTGTTTATCACATATCTGAAGTCTGCGTTTCCCTGCATCAGTCACACACCTCTGGTCATACCTGGGAGCCCTGACATTACACCAAGGCCAATCCTGACCAGAAGTGGCTGCACAGGGAAGCCATCTTGGCTTGTTGATGGGAAGGATGGATCTGGATGAGGTTGTGTATTTATATCTGCTAGTGTTTGATGACAGAGAGTATGCTTATCAGACTCTGAAGGAGTATCCCCGGGATGAACTGCTAGAATGTATACGGCTCGCTCATGTTCTAGTAGATCAGGGCACAGAGTTCTCTGAGGTGCAGCCATTGATTGAGGTTTGTGCTGAGTTGGTTTCATCTGGTTCCCCCGAATGCAGGGATGAATTTTTGCCGCCATTTAGTGCAGACCAGGTAGAGTCCCTGGTGTGGTTATTAGAGGATGATGTGGGTTACTTTCTGGAGCGTTATTCCACATGTTCACCACAGACACTAAGAGATTGTATAAACGCAGTGCAGTCATTGACCAGACAGGCTTTGTGTAAGCTCAGCTTTGTTCAACCCATACTGCAGACATGGACAGACTTGTTGCACCCAGCCTCAGTCAGCTTACAAAGACCCAGTCCTGCTTCTAATCTATTTCCTCAAAGCCCTACTCCTGCATTCCCAACAGCTCCTCCTGCCCTGCTATCTACCGCATGTCAGTACCCTGTTCCCACTCGCTGCACCTATCCTGCCTTTAACCCTGTAAAAGCGCCCTCTGTAGCAACTGCTCCCTCTCCTGTTCCATCCTCCAGTTCTTCTCTGTCTCCAGCTGCTCCATTCGTTTGCAGACCTGCGTTTACTTGCAGTGCTCCAGTAGTTAAAACCAGAAAAAAGCGAAAATTCTTTCCAACCAATACCATCCTGCCAGTATCCAAACCGGTGAGCCTGCCTTCCGTGGTTCAGCCTGAAGCCTCTACTCGGCCTGATGCCTCTACTCGGCCTGATGCCTCTACTCAGCCTGATGCCTCTACTCAGCCTGATGCCTCTCTTCAGCCTGATGCCTGTATGCAGCCTGATGCCTCTACTCGGCCTGATGCCTCTCTTCGGCCTGATGCCTCTGCTCGGCCTGAAGCCTCTGCTCGGCCTGATGCCTCTGCTCGGCCTGAAGCCTCTGCTCGGCCTGAAGCCTCTGCTCGGCCTGAAGCCTCTGCTCGGCCTGAAGCCTCTGCTCGGCCTGAAGCCTCTGCTCGGCCTGAAGCCTACCTGCTCGGCCTGAAGCCTCTACTCGGCCTGAAGCCTCTACTCGGCCTGAAGCCTCTACTCGGCCTGAAGCCTCTACTCAGCCGGACGCCGGCATTCAGCCTGATGCCTCTACCCAGCATGATGAACTGATCCAGCCTGACGATCCTATTAGGCCAGTTGACTCGATGCCCGCTGTTGATCCAGATGATCCGGTACCTGATCCGGTGCCCGCTGTCGAGCCAAATGACCTGATGCCTGGTGACCCAGTGCCCGCTGTCATACCTGGTGACCGATGCCCGCTGTCGAGCCAGACAATCCGGTACCTGATGACCCGGTGCTCACTGTCGTGCCTGTTGACTCGGAGCCCACTGCCTTGCCAGATGACGCGGTGCCCGCTGTCGAGCCAAATGACCTGATGCCTGGTGACCCAGTGCCCGCTGTCCAGCCAGACGATCCAATGTCTGACCCAGTGCCCGCGGTCATACCAGTTGACTCGGAGCCCACGGTTGTGCCTGGTGACTCGGTGCCCGCCGCCCCGCCTGGGGGCCTGAGACCTGTCGTTCCGCCTGGGGGTCTGGCCGCCCGCCACTCCGCCTGAGGGTCCGAGACCTGTCGCTCCGCCTGGGGGTCCGGCGCCCGCCGCTCCGCTTGAGGGCCCGAGACCTGTCGCTCCTCCTGGGGGACCCCCTCCTGGGGGTCCTCCTCCTGGAGTCCTGCCCGCCTGAGGGCCCGAGACCTGTCGCTCCGCCTGGGGGTCCGGTGCCCGCCGCTCCGCCTGAGGGCCCGAGACCTGTCGCTCCGCCTGGGGGTCCGGTGCCCGCCGCTCCGCCTGAGGGCCCGAGACCTGTCGCTCCGCCTGGGGGTCCGGCGCCCGCCGCTCCGCCTGAGGGCCCGAGACCTGTCGCTCCATCTGGGGGTCCGGCGCCCGCCGCTCCGCCTGAGGGCCCGAGACCTGTCGCTCCGCCTGGGGGTCCGGCGCCCGCCGCTCCGCCTGAGGGCCCGAGACCTGTCGCTCCGCCTGAGGGTCCGGCGCCCGCCGCTCCGCCTGGGGGCACGATGCCTGTCGCCCCGCCTGGGGGCACGATGCCTGTCGCCCCGCCTGGGGGCACGACGCGCCGGTCGCCCCGCCCGGGGGCCCGACGCCGGTCGCCCCACCCGGGGGCCCGGTGCCTGCTGCTCCGCCCGCCTGGGGCCCGGATGCATGCCTGCTCCGCCCGGGGGCCCGGTGCCTGCTGCCCCGCCCGGGGGCCCGGTGCCTGCTGCCCCGCCCGGGGGGCCCGGTGCCTGCTGCTCCGCCCGGGGGCCCGGTGCCTGCTGCCCCGCCCGGGGGCCCGGTGCCTGCTGCCCCGCCCGGGGGCCCGGTGCCTGCTGCCCCGCCCGGGGGCCCGGTTCGCCCCGCCCGGGGGCCCGGTGCCTGCTGCTCCGCCCGGGGGCCCGGTGCCTGCTGCTCCGCCCGGGGCCCGCTGCCTGCTGCTCCGCCCGGGGGCCCGCTGCCTGCTGCTCCGCCCGGGGGCCCGGTGCCTGCTCTCCGCCCGGTGGCCCGCTGCCTGCTGCTTCGCCTGGTAATCCGATGTGCCTCTGCCGGAGTCCTGCCCGATGTGCCTCTGCCCGGAGTCCTGCCCGATGTGCCTCTGCCCGGAGTCCTGCCCGATGTGCCTCTGCCCGGTGTGCCTCTGCTCGGTGTGCCTCTGCCCGGAGTCCAGCCCGGTGTGCCGCTGCCCGGAGTCCTGCCCGGTGTGCCAGTCTTTGATATCCCGCCAGTTACCAGACCCGGGCGGTGGAACATTTTGCCCAGCTAGGACTGTTTGGAGCGTCCTGAGGCCGCTCCTTGGGGGGGGGTACTGTTAGGAATGGACTGGCCAGCAATGGTGGGACTCACCTGCCTTTTGATCTGCAGTACCAGGGCTGGCCAGCGGGTGCTCCCAGCAATCAGAGACTCAACCTTTCAGCCAGCTAACACCTGGAACTGATGATGCTGGGGGTATTTAAGGGATGGCCAGACCCACAGACTCTGCCTTGGTGTTGTGTTTGTCCTGGGCCCTGCATCTGGCCTGCATCCTGTTTCTGCCCCTCTGCCTGACCCTCTGTACTACGCTGCTTGTTACCTGTTTTGATCTCTGGCTTGTGACCCTGACCATCCCTCTGCCTGACCCTCTGTACTACGCTGCTTGCTACCTGCTGAACCTGGCCTGTGACCCCGACCATTCTCTGCTTGCTCCCCCTGTACCTACCTGCCCAATTGATATTGACCCGGCCTGCCTGACGACGCTTGCTTGTATGTACTGTTATCTGTGGGTGGTTTGGTTTGGTTTGTTTGCACTGTATTATGTTTAGTATTGCACTGCGTTTATGTTTGTATTGTTAGTGTTAATAAATTGTATTGTTTATCACATATCTGAAGTCTGCGTTTCCCTGCATCAGTCACACACCTCTGGTCATACCTGGGAGCCCTGACATTTATGTCTTCCCTTCTTACCCTCTCCAAGATGAATGTCCTTCCCTAGGCATATGACCCTCCTATGGAACAAGGTATGACCTCTATCCTTCCCTATGGATGTGGCCCTCCTATCGAATCAGGTATGATGACCATCCTTCCCTAGGGATGTGGCCCTCCTTTGGAACCAGGTATGATCACTGCCCTTCCTTAGGGATGTGACCCTCATATGGATCCTTATGATCACTGTCCTCCCCTAGGGATGTGACCCTTCTATGGAACAAGGTAAGATGAACTGTCCTTCCCTGGGGATGTGGCCCTCCTATGGACCAGGTATGATCATTGTCCTTCCCTAGGGATGTGGCCCTCCTATGGAACCAGGTATGATGACTGTCCTTCCCTACGAATGTGACCTTCCTATGGAACCAGGAGTGATGACTGTCCTTTCTTAAGGATGTGGCCCTCCCACTGGACCAGGTATGATAACTGTCTTTCCCTAGGGATATGGCCCTCCTACAGAACCAGGTGTGATCACTGTCCTTCCCTAGGGATGTGACCCTCCTACAGTTCCAGGTGTGATCACTGTCCTTCCCTAGGGATGTGACCTTTCTATGGAACAGATATGATGACTGTCCTTCCCTAGGGATATGGCCCTCAAATGGGACCAATTATGATCACTGTCCTTCCCTAGGGATGTGGCCCTCCTATATAACCAGGGATGAATGTCCTTCCCTAGGGATGTGACCCTCCTACAGGGAACCAGGGATGGCTGTCCTAACCTATCGTTGTGACCCTCCTATGGAAACGGGGATGACTGTTCTCCCCAGGAATGTGGCGCTCTTACAGGACCAGGTATGATGACTGTCCTTCCCTAGGGATGTGACCGTTCTATGGAACCAGGTATGATCACTGTCCTCCCCTTGGGATGTAACCCTCCAATTGAGCCAGGTATGATTACTGTCTTTCCCTTGGGATGTGATCCTCCTATGGAACCAAGGATGACTGTCCTTCCCTAGGTCCACTTAACATGGCCCTCCCACAGGACAAGGTATGATCACTGATCACTGTCTTCCCCTTGGGATGTGACCCTCCTATGGAACCAGGTATGATAACTGGTCTTCTCTTGGGATGTGGCCCTCCTTTGGAACCAGGTATGATGACTGTCCTTCCCTAGGGATGTGACCCTCCTATGGAACCAGGTATGATCACTGTCCTCCCCTAGGGATGTGACCCTCCTATGGAACCCAGGTACCATCACTGTCCTTCACTAGGGATGTGGCTCTCCAATGAGACCAGGTATGAAAACTGTCCTCCCCTAGGCATGTGACCCTCCTATGGAACCAGGTACTATCACTGTCCTCCCCTAGGGATGTGACCCTCCTATGGAACCAGGTACTATCACTGTCCTTCCCTAGGGATGTGACCCTCCTATGGAACCAGGTATGATCACTGTCCTTCCCTAGGGATGTTACCATCCTACAGGACCAGGTATGATCACTGTCCTCCCCTAGAGATGTAACCCTCCTATGGAACCAGGTACCATCACTGTCCTTCACTAGGGATGTGGCTCTCCAATGAGACCAGGTATGAAAACTGTCCTCCCCTAGGCATGTGACCCTCCTATGGAACCAGGTACTATCACTGTCCCTCCCCTAGGGATGTGACCCTCCTATGGGAACCAGGTATGATCACTGTCCTCCCCTAGGGATGTTACCATCCTACAGAACCAGGTATGATCACTGTCCTCCCCTAGGGATGTTACCCTCCTACAGGACCAGGTATGATCACTGTCCTTGTTAGATACAGGAAATCTTCTCACTGCTCTTCATCCAGTAATATTAAAACGACTCACCCTTCTCCTCAGACCGTCTGTTATGAAGGTGTATATATGTTGGTGTACAGAATGTGAACATCCATCAGACAGACAGTAATTGTGTGACAGCAGAAATACGGAAGAGTTTTTTTGGCACGTTTCCTGGACCTCTCACCACTTCCCTATTACTCTATTTGTCATAAAGCTGAATTCCCAGAAGAAAACTGTCCATGCAAATACATTCATCCCTGGTCACAAAGTGTACACCAAATCCCTTTGCAAACCTAGATATCACCTTCTCAAAGAAGTGGCAACATCCAGAGGTGTCCCTAGGGTTGGTGTCACCCGGAGTGGTAACACATGGTGTCACCACTCCAGAGAGGAAGGAGCGGTGCCGGTGTAGCGATAAAATGAGTATCCCTTGAAGATATGTATCCCCTGAAGCAACTGTGCATGTGCCGCTTTCAGGCTGAAGATCGGCTTCTTCAGCCTGAAACCGGCACAGGGCAGTTTCTTCAGGGGTGTCATGGTATGGGAGCCTGCCAATTATTAATCCCCTTATTAATGCCTTGTATCACATGCCCTCAGAGTCCTGCTCTGTATTGTTCCAATTGTCCCCTGTGTCACTAGGCCAAATGGCCTAATCAAATTACTCTGGGCCCCCTCCCTCCCGGCCAGCTGGCTGGGAGCTCTCTGCACACCTCCCAACTTGCTTTTCATCTATGCAGACATCATCCCTGCCCCCCAGGATGTCCCTGTAACCAGCCTGATTCTCCCTGGGGTCTAGTATTTTCTTTCCCCCCTCCCAGTTGCCAAGGCGACCGGGGAGCATCCTGCAGCAGTTTAAGAGGCTGATGCTAGGCGCTCCGTTTTCATTCCGGTGTGCAGTCAACAAAGGATCTCAAGCTTCCGCGAGACCTTTCTGACAAGACTCTGCAAGCCTAACCCCAGCCTCACAGAGACCCCACAGGAGGGAAGAGGCAGCCAGAGAAAGCTTGCCTGCGATTGCGAGAGACCCCACAGAAGGGGGAGAGACTATCACAGCCTGCGATTGCGAGAGACCCCACAGAAGGGGGAGAGACTATCACAGCCTGCGATTGCGAGAGGCCCCACAGAAGGGGGAGAGACTACCACAGCCCGTCTGCCAGAGCCACAGGCCACCCGCCTGATCTGGACTCCATAGGTACCTGCGTTCTGCTTCTACCCCTGGGAGACCAGAAACCCTGTTGGATCCGTGAGTACCTGCTTCCCCACTGTGTTACCTGAACTGTTGCGGTGGTGACCCCAGGCACCCCCCTCCTGTGTCGGACTACCCCT